TGGTTTTATTGTCTTGATACATACGAGTACGTGTGTAAATCATGTATGTACATACATATGTATATATACATTCATTCATTACTACGTATAATCTTGAGTAAGGAAAATTATTAAATATGATGGCAGATTATAGGAACAAATATTATTGTATATGTGTAATAATATAACAATATGTATGGACATTTCAGATATGGTAGAATTTCTGCACTATGAATGAATTCCCATTTTAAACAAATGTTAATAGGAAGTTTCTTGGAGCATACAGAGAAAACTAGCTGTGAACAAAACTCTCACAAAGCTAATGTTGTAAAGTCTAACTTACAAGATTTTCTTCACTTTAACCTTCAACTGGCTAGATGTTCATATTTGTTTCGAATTTTTAACTAATATCTTATTGTATGGAATCTTACCAGTGTCTTATTGGTTACATAGTTTTAATAATATTCAAATTATTATAATAGATTGTCAGAAAAAATGTGATTTATAAATTGTCAGAAAAAATATTGTATGTATCAGGTTATAGATATATGAATTATCGATTTTAATTTTGGATATCAATTCAGCCTTCAAATAAATATTAATAGTTTCACAAGCCATAGATAAATATATATAATTTTAAGATCATAAGTTTTGGATAATACTAATAATAATCATAATAACTACATGAATACCTGGCACATCTTTCTGTCCGTTGTGTTCGATGTCACACATTATAACTTATTAATAACAAACACCACACTATTAAAAGACCTGAACCGATCGCGTATATTTCAGTGACACAGGTTATAAATTGGCCCCAGATTGACCTTCCCACGCATCACTTCCCACAATTATGTAAAGAAACACCAAATATACAACTACTAAATATCAAATTATATGCACTCTACTTGTTGCAAATTGTAAATCAATATTTATTTTTATCAACATGCACTTGTGTAACTTTTTCGCGCCAATTCTAGTTCCTTCTTTCAAACGTCGCGTCGCTGCGTACGTCTCAGTGCCGCGGAAGACAGACACAAACTGTTCTATTTTCGAATTTCGTTTTATTGTGACAAAAATTTTAATATGCATAAGTAAACTATTTTATTTATATCTAAAGAACAAAGTTTCAATATTTCTTCCAGGAACCAATAGATATGAATTGAAGGAAAATGGTTGCACTAAATGAACTTTCAAACTGAAACTTTGTTAAACACAATAACTGTTTTGGGTTTTAATAAAGGAACGTAATTATTTCAAGGATAGTTCAAATGCATTTTGATTCTAAATAATGTTTGTCCCTGTATTCGTTTCCTATCCATGATTTCATTATCATTGCCAACAACTCATAACATTTAGTCGAGTGGCTAGAATGAATTAATTACACAAATTAATGAACACACGTTGGCTAGTGTTAATTGTATATTTTGTTTTTTTCCACAGATAGTACTTACAAGATTTTTCAAAGATATTATCAAACAATTAATATCAATTCACATTCTGTCAGATGTCACTGGCTAGTACAATTTTAATTAAAATATTTAAATTAAATATTGAAATAACAGTCGGTGATATCCGATTTATGTAAATTAAGATTCTTTTCAAACATCCCGCAGTTGCCATCCTATAAGACTCCTTTTAAAAAAACAATAATATCTCCTTTATTACATTTGTAACATGAACTTCCAACGATAAATTGTAATAATTGAATATTAAATTAATTTTCTCTTACGATTTTCTTAAAATATTTAATCTGTATAAGTATCATTCTCTTTTTGTGCTTTAGTAATCACGAATTTTATGATTTTTACTTGCTTATTATATATGAAATTTATTTTGGTCCGTATTACTCTACATTAAATACAAATTATTATTATTATATGTTATGTCAGAACCCTAGAATACTATTATTTTTTTTCATATATTCTTAACATAATTTAGAAATATCAGATACTTAAACGCTTGTCAATATTTTGCATATAAATAATAATTGAAAGTATTAAAAAATTAAGAACCTTTATTTAAATATTTAAAATAATACAGAATGTAGAAAAGAATCTTCAGTCGGTACGTGGAAACAATGGAAGATATTTTTTTTTATTTGTAGCTCATTTAAAACAGACTTTATTATGCACTACCGGAATGAACAAAATAAAAACTAGACGCATGATTCATATAAAGACAATAAAAGACAATATGTTTTTATGCTATAAATGATTATGAGTGTACTTTCACGAAGTAGATATGTTTTTCTTGTAAAATAACGGTCCTAATGATAATACAACGGTACTTAAATTATTAGGATCTAAAGAAGCTTAGTGTGCTATGGCTTCTGGTACATGACGAATAATGAATTTTAAAATAAAGTAAAGAGAAAAACATTAACTATGATATTACGTTTAATTTCTATTGCAGAACTTTTTACCTCCTAATTTCTACTTTCAGACCAATTTTATTATTAATTTTATTCAGTCTCTTATCTTATGAGAAAAATGTTACCTCTATATTAATCAAATTAATACTTTAATCCCACAAAACATTTTCACAAATTTTCGTTTGATATAATATGAACGTGTAGGAATAATATAATTATTTATTCAGACAACCTAGAAAATGAATAATAGACCTCCGAACCAAAAATATCAATGTTCTTTACTGGTTTTCTTTTAATTTTTTTTTTAACAGTATTAGTTTGCATTGTTTATAAATATCTTAATGTAATATTGAAAAACAATATGCTACTCATAGAGTTCCTTTAACATTATGTCAGAAAAATAATAATATGTATATTATATTTAAATCTGAATTTGAGAAAAAATTTATATGAATGTGTTGGAAAAACCTCGAAGTGAATTCAATCGCATTAAGGAAGATTCCCGATAGTTCGTCTTAATTGATAGTGTAATATAGGAGTTCAATGTTGTTTAAACTGTAATTTATTTAGTTTAGATCAAGAACAATGAACTGTTAAAGAAATTAAAAGTCATGGATATAGCCACTGAGGTCTTAGACTGTTATTTTTTAACAGGGACTTGATACCTTCCTAAGGCTTTTTAATTTTCCTAGTCATATCTCGAAACATAATGAACCTTTCTTTCAAATTATTAGGATGTTTCAAACATAAGTAATTTAATGTAAACAGAATATTTTAATAAAATATAAATTTTATTAACGCCTCATAATATATTATCTTAGAATGTATTTATGTTTTTTTTTCTAATTACTTAACTACCTTTACTTTAAATAATCTAGTATTTGTTTTTGCTGGCACTAAAAATAAATACTATGGCACCTCCCCACTTACTACTAAAGTTATCTACTTCTGTATTTGTTTTACTATTAATGCGACCCTAACTTTTACAATAATCCAAAGTACAAGTATAGGAATTCTTGTCATTTACGTCTGATGAAAAGCTCTTGTGGGTATACCTACAATAAAACCGTCCTGTCTTTGTATATAAAATATATCAATAAGTTCTCCGGTCTTATTGCACTTCTAAATACATATTTGTTTTACCATAGAAAATGTTTATACACCTGCTTACCTTGCTAAATATTATTTCAAAGTGTTTGTGATCGTAAACGAAGCGACGAAGGATTTATAATAAGAAAATACCTATCTTCATTCTTTAAATTTATATTTAATTTTGTTATTAAATTGTCATTTTATTACCAGGCGTGTCAAAATTATGTTTATAAATAGTTTAGTATTTGTTCCAATTAAAACTATAGAGTAGACGAGTAAAGTAGACGCAGTCTGAGAATTTCCATAAGAATCGAACGCCGCTAATACTGACTGAGTTCGTAATTTAGTAAAAACAATAGCGACTTCCAATATCTTGACTTTTAATCGTTGTGAGCACTAAATAAAATTTATTATCCCAAAAAAGTAACTTTTTTACGTACGACAAGAATTTTTATTTTCAACTAACTGCTACCCGCGACTCCGCCTGTGTAAGAGAAAAGCAAAAGAATGAAAAAACCTTTAACGCATAATTTCGGAATTGGGATAAAATTAGGGTAAGTTATTCATTACTACATCAGGTAAGTACCTGCCAATATATGAAGTCCCAGCAATACAAGTGCAGTCATTTCAAAATACAAAAGAAATTTACAAAATGCTATTATGTTGTATGAACCATATATACTCATATGTTATACATACATACTCTTGTAGTGAAAAACATGATCTTAATTTTGTTTATTTTCATATACATTCAGAGCCTTTTTCTTTTTTGGTATGATCGTAATTACACCCTTAGCTATTCATTAGCGGTTATATAAAAATTAAAGACAAAAATAGATTTTGGTTATATATACCTACGTAGAAAACATCAAGAATGACAACTGATTTATCCTATAAGTTCTTATTGAGTTATTGATTGTAATTTTTTTGATATTTATAGAGAAAACATTTTTGAATGAACAATTGGTGTAAAAACAGATAGGCACACCCTAAGGCTGGGAAATTACCAGGAAGAAGAAGAATTGGTATAATAACCTTTTTTATGCATTTTTTTTGTAAAGGTAAGGTTTTAACAGTAAAATATAAGAATAAAGTAAATTTTACTAATTTTTTTGTTTTCTTTGTTTATTGAACAAATAATTATTAAGTTTTTTATTTCGTCTTTTAACACATTAAAAATTAAAGTCATCCCAAATTTTATACGAACGTAAATTTTAACTAGGCTATCGTCAAAAGCTGGTACAACTGTTAGCTATGGTTTTGTTTAAAAAAAAGTCCACTTTATCATATCAGCTCTCAATACAAAAATAATTATTGTTAAAGTTTCTTTATCATTGAACGCGAAGTTAAAAGTTAGGAAAAGAACATCATGACAGACAACCAAATGTCACTTTGACAGCTGTCCTTTAACCATTAAATATTTATATATTGCATGTTGTGAAATATAAAACATTATCTGATCCCCTTTAATCTGTAACAAAGTGTATATCAAATCCAGACTAAGACGTTAAAACAAGGGTGTTTAACCTACAAGTGATATTGAATAATCTTTATCATGTCAGACAGTGAAGAAAACCTGCATCGTTTGGAGGGAACTTCTAGCAATGCTCCTGGAGGTCTTATTATCAAGAAAAAAGATAAACCGCCTGATTTCCAATTTGCCAAACCTTCCCTATTAGGTCTAGATAAATTGGCCGCTGCTAAAAGAATGCAAAACCGCTTAATTTCCTTTCAAAACGAAGACAACTATGGAGATGATGTTGAGGATAAAAGTGGTTCTAGTGGTGTAAGGGAGCGAAAATATAGGAAACATAATGAAGAAACTCCGACGTATACCGGAGGCTTATCAGAACAAGCCCGAGCAAGGATGTTGGAAAGATTAGAAATGTAATGTATTTCCTATTTTTGTACATTAAATACATTTTAGAGAACAATTTCACTTAGTATTGAACTATGATTACCATAATGGGCTCATAGTTTTGCATAGAATTTCAAATGAACTGATGACCATGACACTGAACACTAGTAAACTTTGTTAGTTTGTAGTTATTTGTAATGTAGATTATAGTCATGATTTATTATGTTCCCTGAGCACATTTTACTTCTCACCATTTGGCTCTAGGAATACTTTGTTCAATATTAAATGAATAACTGTCTGTAAATTTAATTGTTTCAGAAATGATGTTGTTTTTACTTTAAATCATAGTTGAACTTATTCTTACACTAAATTTTAAATATGACAATGAAAAATTTTATGATGCAAATAGGATTTAAACCTTGAACTACCATAATATTGTTACTGTTCATAGTCATGTGATATTACTGAGGTTGCTGGTCTGAATCTTGAGTGTGTTGATGAATTTTTACCTCTTTATTTCTTTGTGTAATGTCCTAGAATAGTATGCACAGAGATTCTTCATTCACAAAAACACGTAAAACAAGGACTTTTAATTTAAAAAATATGTATATTCACAGGAAAGAAAAGAAAGCAAGAGAAAAGGGTGTGCATAATTCAACACAAGAAGAGAAAAAGTCATATTCCAAAGATGAAGAAGATAGCCGATTTAACCATTATGGTCGTGGGCAACGCGACAAGGACAGAAGACGTGACTATGATAGACGAGACAGAGACAGATATAGGGATCGGAATGACAGGAATAGGAGTGAAAGAGATAGAAGGAGAGATTCAGAGAGGAGGGAAAGAGATACTGATAGAGATAGCTCACGACGGAGTTATTATGAACCCAGGTTTAAAGATGAACCGAGGACACCAAGGTAACTTTAGAGTTTCTTATCAAGACATAGGTATTATAAGAAAGTAGATTTATTATCCAAGTGCCAAAATAGAATTTAATTCTACTGAAGAGATACATTGGGCTTAAAATAAAATGGTTTCATATATAATATTATGTGTACTTAAAATATTCGTGAATGAGTTATTGTTGGAAAAGTTTTCACCTTTAGTCAATTGAGAGATGTATTACATAATATTTTGTAATAATGAATGCCAACCAGATATCATGTGGTGTTTTGAAACAAATTTTTTGTTGAATTATTGAACATCTTTAATCTCTTCTTGTCATAAGTATATAAAATCATTATAGCACAACTGCTTACTGGTAAAACAACTAAATGTATTAATATTCTAGATTCTTCAGTTTCAAATTGTGCCTAACTCTATGAAAAATATTTTCTATCTCAGAAGCATTATAAATGTTTCCTTTTTTAGTTGCTCATGTTTTTTATTAACATTTCAGTATAAAAGCTCTGAAACCAACGGATAAAACAGCTTGGGATGATGATGACGATGATCCGAAGGCTGTCCGTAAGTCAAGTTGGGACTTCCCTACACCGCTGCCAAGAGATTTGGTGGATAGATCGGCTCGAAGTGAACGCAAACCAACCAGAGACTATAAAGGAAGACCATATGAAGATACCGTTAGAGCTACACCTCATAAGTATGTATACAATTAATATTTTTTACTAACTCTCCTTAACTTAAAATACTGATAATATATTTCTTTTATTTAAACATATACATACTTTTGTTTATAAAATTTTAATACAAAGTACATGTATGTTACTTTTAAGTCATATGAAACTTGAATGTTTTTTACAATTTGTCATATTATTCTATTAGTCATTAATTATCCTCTCAGTGTGATAGTAGTAAAACACATTAGTTTCCACACATATATTGTTGACCTGTATCTTTTTGTTACCATTACCATCACTTATATTTTCACTGAATATTATTATTATATTCCATATACAGGGTGACTGGTGAATTACTATCGATACTTGAGGACGTGATATTTGATGATCATATATGACAAAATAAAAATTAATATAACATAATATTAATAAACTTCTAAGTAAAGTTAACCAAAAGTTATGTAATTAATTACGCATCGTGTGAACACCCTACAGATTAGGTATACACTCACACTCACACATACGCGGACGGCGGCGTAGTGTTGTATCAGCACGCCGCCGCACGCGTCCACACTAGGAACACTTGGAACGTGTCAACACTTTATTTATTTATACGGAAATTTTGTCAAAAATAAGTGCCTATTTTTTTACATAATTCGAATGAGAATCATGTACCGAGTATTCTCCTTAAATATTGATAGTAATTCACCAGTCACCCTGTATATTATTTATTTCTTTCATTGTTCAAATTTCTATAGAGACTGTGTATGTGTATTAACATAGAATTTGCTAGTTTTCTTAAATTGAATCAATGTAATCTAATGTAAATAATAAATATATGGTCTACTTAATCAGATGGGTGAGCTCACGTCGTGGTCTCGATGTAGATGACCCTGAGTGGCAGGAAGCGGAGAAGAAATTAGATCGAGCCTGGTACAACATGGGAGAAGGTGGGTTAATAATAATGCTCTAATACATGAAAAATGATCATATGATATAGTGACATTTATATATTATATTATTGACATTTTTTTATATGAATATAAAATTCTCGTGTCACTATGTTCGTTCCCGTATTCCTCCGAAACGGTTTGACCGATTTTCATGAAATTCTGTGAGCATGTTGAGTAGGTATGAGAATCGGCCAACGTCTATTTTTCATACCCCTAAGTTATAAAGATTTTTCACACTTAATTGTTTTTTTAATTTTTGTACGAACTTTTTTGTTTTAATTTTATTATAATCCCTCAATTTTTACTTGTTTTACTCATCGACCCCCATTTTTTAAATGGTAAAACAATGTTTGACTGGTCAGCTAGTATCATTTTAAAATATCAATTGAGAGCGTAATTCAATGTCCAGATATCAAGAGATCTAAAGCTATACATATCTTAAGATTAATTTACTAACATATAAAAAACCTAAATAAATTTCAGGTGAGACGGACGAATCGGATCCGTTCGCCGGGACTAGCGCGGAGTATATAGCGAAGAAAGAGGAACAGATAGAAAAGAGACGGAACAGGAAGGTGTCGGCCGCGAGGCAGCAGATAGACAGAGACAACGAGCTGTGGGAGAGGAACAGGATGCTGACCAGCGGGGTCGTGCACGCTATTAGTGTTAACAACGACCTGGACGAGGTACGGATAGTATAGTGTATGTATCTATACAATAGATATAATACACTGTCTCACGTATCCCACTGAAGGGGGCGGCATGCGCTCGGCAGTCTAATGACTAGCGCGGAGCAGAACGGGGACGTACGTCGCTCTAGGCGGGGTAGTAGTGAGACAGTGACTAGTTATACTTACATGTAGGACCAGGGATCCTACAGATATAGGATAGGACGGACTGTCGCTGACAGATCCGGGGTACACCGATATAGCGGCCGATGGCTTTCGCAGTGGTTTTAGTGAGTAGTAGCCTCACCAAGGCCGGTTGGACGGCTCGTAAAAAGAGTTTCCCTGCGTCATAAAAAAAAAGGTGGAATAGGATAGGACAGGACGAGGGACTTGAGATATTAATGGGAGATTAAATGTACCTAAAATGATACTAATATCACAGTAATCAAGGTTACTGAAAAATAACCAAAAGGTTGAGAGTATTTGGTTTTTTTTTTTTAATAATAAAATACGCGTAGTTATTCGAATAAAATTAGTTTAAATAAATGAATACTAGCGAAAGTATTGATCTCATTATAAATACGTATTTTAATACTCATTATGATAGCGACTGTCTGACAGTTTAAGACCACCAAAATCAGTCCAGTTGCTTCGAATTTTATATGGGACAAGAACAAAGCAAACACAATTTTTTACGTACTATGTATATATGGGCAATATTTACATTTTAGTGCTACAAACAGACCACAATTATTATAATCCAAATAAATTTTTGTGTTTCAACAGGAAAACGTAGACCGAGTACATCTCCTGGTGCATAACATAGTCCCACCATTCCTCGACGGGAGAATCGTGTTCACTAAACAACCTGAACCTGTTATTCCTGTGAGTTAACATGAATTATAACAATATACTTTAAATATAATAAACATAGTTTAAATTCTAAGTTAATTTTAATATCGCTTCTTAAAGGTCAAAGACCCCACATCAGACATGGCGATAAATGCTAGGAAAGGGTCCGCTTTGGTGAAAGCATTCAGAGAACAGAAGGAACGAAGAAGAGCACAGAAGAAACATTGGAAATTGGAGGGAACGAAGATTGGTTTGTACATACATACACTACAAAAATAATTGCCATTAAAATAATTGTAATAGTTTGTATATGTATTTTAATTTTATAGTAAAAAATTTATATTTAATACTAGTTTTTGCCCGCGACTTCGTCCGCATTAATTTCGTCATCAGTAATATATGTATAGCTGACCGGGCGAACTCTATTCCATCTTAAATAACCAGGTATTGGTATGTAATATATTTGATTTTTCCTGTTTCAATCGAATAGAATGATTGACATAGAGTTAGTTGTCAAATCTAATGTCAAAAAAACGTTTGTATCGGAAATAGAAAAATTGAAAGTAATACAAGTATCCTCTTTCAGGTAACATAATGGGCATACAGAAACAAGAGGAGGAAATAGAAGACGGACCAACGAAACAGGCGTACAAATACGCTGAACACTTGGATAAAGGTACGAAATAATATATACCCGTAACTACATATGATGTTTAAACTACAATATGAGAAAATTTAATCAAAATCAGTTTACAAGTTTTTGCATGATAGATCAACAAACTTCCATACATGCAGATCTTATTTATAATATTATATCTTCATCTATGTTATGTTCTATCTTAGTCAGTGGTGGCAGTGGTTAAAAGGCCCGCCTCTCATGTTCGAGGGCGCGGGTTCGATCCTGGCCCGGGAAAGTACCAATGTGATTTTTCCGAGTCATATGTACATTCTAAAAGTATTTAGACATCACTGATTAATGCATTCCCAAAGAGGGTTAATGTCAGGCAGGCGGCCGGTCATAAAAACAATTAGCCAAAACTATTCACAACATGTAAGGTAGACCCTGGCTAAAGCTGGGAAATTGCTAGGTAGAAATAGAAGATATCTTCAGGTTTAACTTAATTAATATCTAGTTATGTATGTGTAAGGAATTATATACGGATTTATTCAAATTATCTTGTAATTGTTTCACGTATGATATCTGATGTCTTGTTTATATTTCCAGAGGGCGAGGAGGCGGAGTCAAAGTCAGACTTCGTTAAGAAGTTGTCAATCACTGAACAGAGACGCTTCCTGCCCGTGTTCGCTGTGAGGGAACAACTCATGCAAGTGGTTAGAGAGAATAACGTTATCATTATAGTCGGTTAGTATTTATATTATACTAGCTTTCCGCCCGCAGCTTCGCCGCGTGGAGTTCGGTTATATCGCGTTTCCAAGAGAACCTTTCAAAAGTCTTTGATAAAAACTATCCTATGTTCTTTCTCAAGGTCAACTCTATGTCTGTACTAAATTTCATTAAAATCAATTCAGTGGTTTAGGCGTGAAAGCGTAGCAGACAGACAGACAGACAGACAGAGTTACTTTCGCATTTATAATATTAGTAGGGATTAGTAGGGATTACTATTTTTGTATTTAATTGTATCGAATATTTTTGTTTAATTTAATTTTATTTGTTTTGTTTGTTTCTTTAGTAATAACTAAAATATTAGTGTTATGCATTAGTTATATAATTGTAAAATATAAAATTGACGACACTGGTGTTCGGAAAAACTTGAATGTGTTTATGCTAACACCTTTAAATGTAAAACCATGTTACACGTACTCGTTTTGTAATTAAATAAATAAATGTATATTATTCATCAAGATTTAAAGTCGCTCCAAATTATTATTTTGATAACGTCTTATTTTTTTTTCCATTCCAATATCATAAGTATATACCAAGTATAGTACATTGCAATCGATATAATGATTTCATTTACTCATCCAATACAATTTCATTCAATAAATATTATAAACATCTAAATTATTTATTATTACAAAATCATATATAAAGACTATGAAGTTTTATATTAACTAAAGTTGATATTTTATTAGTGATAAATTTAACTGTAAACAGTTCCATATAAATATAAAGTCAATGAACTCCACAATACGTCTGTATAAACCAGGTGAAACTGGCAGCGGTAAAACGACCCAACTGACACAGTACCTGCACGAGGACGGGTACAGCAAGATGGGCGCCATCGGCTGTACACAACCGAGGCGAGTGGCCGCCATGTCTGTGGCCAAGAGAGTCGCTGATGAGATGGGAGTTAAATTGGGTCAGTAATACTAACTACACATACGTACACACACACACACACAAACACACACATACATACAATACAATAGTAAAAGCAGCTAGGGTGTAAATATATAGCTTATAGGTGGTAGAGCCTAGCTGTAGTCAGTTACTACAGTTCGAACGTGGGCTGGCTCGGCCGGGGAAGTACCACCCTCTCATAGAAGATCGGCGTGAAGTAGCCTTTAATGGCTGCGTTTCGTCCGATGAGTGAGAGAGCCGGTTGCCCTTTCCCTATTCCCTACCATTTCCTTATTCCCACTCCATCCTATCCCTAAAAAATAAGGTTGGCAACGAATCCGCAACAAAGATGTTGTGGATGTCCATGGGCGACGGTAACCACCTTCTATCAAGTGGGCCGTCTGCTCGTTTGCCAGCTTTCGCATACAAAAAAAATAAAAAAATAAAGTAACTTCCCACCTGACGCTAAGTATCAACGCAGCTTATATAAACACAGCATTCTAATCGATCAAACTGATGTTATCTCAAAGTTTTGAAGAAATAGCTCAAACTCTAACTCGTAATAATGTCATCCATATTTCGGTTCTAGGTTTTGTTTATTGAGAATACTCATAGTAGTATGATCGTTAATGACCTATTACCATAGAGGTTATCGTGAATGTCAGATATTTTATTAGTAAATATGAAACCTAATGCTTAAGTTAACGCTTTTGAAATTCTCCATCACGCCTGTCTATTGTCATATACTTCTAACTATTAAACAGTGAGAGTTATCATACATTTAATGACAACTTACTTTGATACAAAAAACTCATCGTATGATTGTTGAAATTACGTTTCATCCTCTTGCTATAGATTTGTTAGTCATGTAGAACAATCCGTCGCAATCATACGATAAGACGAATAGCAATTGCCTTCATTAATTTCCTTGCTATGTAATCCAAAAAGAGAATTCTCTTTCTATTTCCGTTTCCTTTATTGTGATATCAAAACAATAATTTAAAAACTACGTCCCTTAGTTACTACAGATCGTCTATAAAAAAAAATTCTTTCGCCGGTTCTTCTCAGGTCAGGGTATTTTCTTTTCCGAACCGGTGGTAGTGTCTCAAGTCAATAAGAAAGTGTAATGCTTCTATATTGAATAAAGTTATTTGAGTTTGAGTTTACAATCATATTATTAATGAATATATATATCCAGGCGAGGAGGTTGGTTACGCGATCCGTTTCGAGGACTGCACCAACCCGTCGACCGTCATCAAGTACATGACGGACGGGATCCTACTGCGTGAGGGTCTGCGGGACCCGGACCTCGACCAGTACAGCGCCATCATCATGGACGAGGCGCACGAGAGGTCGCTCTCTACGGACATGCTGTTTGGACTTCTCAGAGAGGTGAGTTGACTATTATAATACGTACAATACGACCAGATACAAAATTTTGTTGGCAGTGTTGGGCTATTTTTTTAATTTTCGAATATACATTGCTTGTGGATATAAAAACGTTCGTCTCAATGATTGAGAACGTAATCGCGGTTTATTGGATTATAGAGATGAGAACTGTATGTAAATAAGACGCCAACGAAACAAGATAAAGTTAATGAAAGTCGTTTACGGCGTTCGAATTATGTTTGAGCGTCTAATATAAGTTTAATAGGGTCCCTTAAACCTACACCTGGGTCACAAGTCCCAGGCACTGTTGAAGCTCCTCTCCCTACAACGATGGACCCGACACACGCACCGTGAATACATGGAATGATGATAGGTTTCGTCTCATTAACTTTAAATAAAAAAAATAATAGTCAGCATCCTCTAACCATAAATGGCAGGCGTTTTGACAAACTCTACACTTAATAACACGTCACAACATTATAGTCTAATGAAATCAAGTGCCGCATGTTGTAACACAGCTGTAGTGCTTTTAGTCAAACCGACAGTTTCCAGAATTTACATATGTTACACAGTTATATTGCGTTTGATTTAGGTTGTTATAGTGCATTTGATTTAAGCTGAGCTTTGCATTTGTGTGAGTGCACACGGATAGTGTAGGTGTGATGTCAAATTTTTGAATGCCACGTTCTTTTCTAATTTTGAACCGGTTTATAATACCTTTACTCTGCCCTGCACCTTCCGTAATGGTAGCAACGTCAATTGTTGAAAATGCAATGTCAAGTGAAGAAGAATTTGTATTTTTTTTTTTTCAACATTTTTATTACTTAATATTTTTATTTCTATAATATTTCCATCTGAACTTTTACAAGTATCGCTTATTTAATTTTTAATCTAGAATAGCTCTACACTTATGTTATGTATCTATTTAAAATATAAAGTAATTCTTAAAGTTTTTGTCTAACTCTACTTTTACTCACACCAATGCAAAGCTCAGCTTAAGTCTAACGTACTATACTACTAATAAAATCTGTAATATTCAATATTTCAGTATTGTGGTCTGGGAGTCGTCACTTATTCCAGGAATATTTTAAAAGGGTTAATTTTTTTGTAACTTTACAGGGTGTTGTTCTTATTTAATAACAGTTTCTTTTCCGTCCGAATCCGTCTCTTCATTCAATTTGTGTTCATCAACATACTTTGATTTGTTTCCATTCAAAAATTCTCAATGCTACAATCATTTTATATGTATATTAAAGTCCAAATTAATCTAAGTAGTCTATTTTAGACAGACTATCTATTTTACATTTGTCGGACTTTATACTACGTGGACTATGAACTCAAGAGATTTGGCCTTGTATATTGAACGAGACAATTATACAAAGTGGCTACTTGTATTAATTAACGTTTTTTTATCGGTCTAACTTGTGTCGTTGCGGCCAATATATCAACAATGATAAAACAGTTCTACCAATGAAACCATGTAATATTTTTGAACTCTTTATTTATAAAAAAAATATCATATAAATAGAACATTAATTCTCAAACAGTCGCAGACCATTTATCTAATAGGCCTTTAATATGAATACCTAATCTTTATAACTACAACATCTTTATAACTTCTACTTCTGAACTATATTAAACGTTAAGTACAAACGCCATTAATGTCAACGTCTGTCTAATATTTTTCGTGGTAAATTCCATTTAATATTAACAATGTGAACAGTCTCATTAAATCGAAATATCTTATGATAGTAACAGAGTTCGTTATTCTCTTAGGTGGTAAGAATACAATGAAAAATACGATTAATTCAATGAATACAAAGTTATTTATAATAAAATGTCGCGGGGCGCTTGTCATATAAAAGGAATGTTGCATTTAAACAGTTTCTAAATAAAAATTAAAGCTTCAAATTAAATCCTCACATTAAATTGTCACGAAAATAGAACAGAAGATAATCCAATACTTTCATTAAATCGAACATTCTGAAAACAATTTGTATCTATTCATGGGAATACATCATGGTCTCTTGAGCTAATGCGAGAGATTCTTTTAACAAAATGATACCCGGACCGGGACTAGGTCGATATTAAAATTCAAATGTTGAAATCATAATCGGAACCAGTCGGAAGCAGTTCAGACGAACTGGTCCCTGGGCGAAGGTATCCAGAAGCAGGGGTAGCAGACGCCGGCGCTGCCGGCGGCCGACACTCACACCGACTTGGCTTTGGCCCGCCCGTTGTTCTGACTGACCATCATTACACCCATGTTCATGCCGATGTTGCCCCATTTCAGCGATTCGCTAATCTGTAACAATCCAATCCCACACTTATATCATTCGTTTTAACTCACAGCTACTTATATTTTATCACCGAAATTTATAAAGGTCACCTCGGACGTGTTTCAATTTGAGCCGCTATCGATTAAAATTAAACATGACCCCTTGAAGTTATAACCGACCTAAATTCTGGGTCAGTGTCGCAAGGTTCAATGTGCAATATGAAACTTTTGTTAATGTCACTCGAAAATAAATTACGAGTTTATTGAGTTAAAGATATTAACTTGAGAGTCTGTGTGTGAGAGTCTGTGTCTATGTTATGTAGTTGAACATGTTGCGAACACATGTCGCCAAGTAAGGACGGTTGAATGATGTCATTGTTAAAGCATGTGTCCCTTTCCATTAGACACAATGTACTAACATTATACAGAGTTTGACCCCGAGCTGACTTCATTCACTGACATCTTATATAATTAAAACACGCCGAGGAACAATTGATTTAATTTAAATTACAGAAATGCTTTCTGTTTTACAAATCACCTTGTTACTTACCGTATCTGTTTAAACAATAAACTTATACCATCTGTGTATGCTTATGCTTACATAGCAACGAAAACACACCTTCATCTATATAATGGATACATTGACGTTATCTTTAAAAATAATTCCTTCTATAAATCACTATCGAACATTTGGTTTCGACTAAATTAAATATATTTACAATGTATGATCCATTCAGTTACCGTTCATATGTTACGATACTGTAATGGCTTTCTATCTAATGTGAAAAAAACAAACGATTCTAAAATACAAAATGGCAGTAGAACGCAAATCAGTTAGAAAGAAGTAAAGAAAACAGTGAGACATGTAGCTTGTATTAACACAACACAGGGGCACATTGAGTTCCGGCCGTTCATTAAATAATAAAACCCTCACCGGTATATAAGTCGTCAGCAGAGTCCGAAGCGCCTCAACGATTACCATCAAAAGATAATAATCATGGGGGTTTTCGACGTCGTTAAGCTGATCTGTAACAGAATGTCTACTTTGTGCGTTTCTTGTATACTCTCATCTCCCGGTAGTTCATGCACGTTACCCGGCTGTGCCCGACTTCGGTGACCAATCAAAGCTGATACTTCACATACATTTCGTCTCACAGAAGCATGAAGTAAGCAATTTTTTATGGTGTATAAAACTGTCGTTACTATATCGCTTTCGCAAAATAAGAATTTTGGCAAGGAAAAGTCTGTTCAATGATTCAAAACTACTTTATCAGGAATTGTAAAGACAGTTTTTAATACTATTGATGTCGAACAAAACATGCAACAAAAGAAACTCTAGATCCGAAGTAATAAAGCATATAAATGATAAAACATTCACAGATAGATCTCAATCACTGTAACACTCCTAGCACTCAATGTATTCTATAGATGCTTGAAATATATTAAAATCTAAATTACCTGTCTCATGCGAGCTTCTTGTGGAGTTTCCCCATATCGGCACCAGTGGACGAAATGCAGGGTATTGTGCCAGTTTCTTTCAAATCTGGATTTAGTTGCCATGTCGAGCTGCAATCAGTAGAAGCTCCTTAGTAGCTTTTCCACTGTTCACCAATTAAGGAAAGCCCCGTTGAGGCTATCTGAAATGAGAGGTTTCCAATTCTGACGTCTATCCTAGACAGGAAGAATTTCGATATCGGACAGAAACCATTCAAGGTGAAAAGAGAAAAGACCAATTTTAGAAACGACTTTGAGGTCTCAGAAATTATAATCGAGCCAAAGATTTTAATATAACCTACATTTGATAAAAGAAACTGCCTATTATCATAATTTTTACATTGTAAGATTTGCATTTAAATTGAGGTCGAACAGAGTGTACGTAAGGCAACAATGTTTTATGAATTTAAACAATCAGAGTTTAAGTGTATTGCAATCTCACACAAAACGCTCGTCGCGTGTCAAAACATGTAGACGTCACAAGGCCGTATTATGCAATTTACTATTGAAACCTTTGCCGTTGATAAACTAATCTATTTACAGTTACAACATTTGATGTAACGATATCATGACGAACTACTCCTCTCCGAGCTCCTTGAACTATGATAAGGGACTATGTGCGAATTGGAAACGTGTGCCTCATTTTGGTGTACGTATGTTATTTACCTTTGCCCTGATGTCTTTTTCGCTGTTGGGTGTTTCTTGCTTGTCGTCGACGTTGTTGATTCTTATGACGGAGTCCTTTTTCCAAAAGGCACTCAAGGTAGTCCTTATAATACGTTTTCGCACACCTTTTTGCTGGACAGTGTACACCTCTATCTGTTCCGGGTTCTTTGTTTTTTCTAGAAAATAATTTACGTCAGGTTGAATGAACTATGAAATAACTGTTGCCGATTATGTTAGTCACTACAGTAACTTTTCATAATAATAATTTATATATCCCGGACAACGACATTTTAATTCAAAGTGTTATAAACTATGAATAATAATAAATGCCATAAGTTAGTCCTTGTTGCACGTACACCGCAATGACGCGTGTCGATGTACTTGTTAATCAGTATTCGCTTGTTACATTCCAACACGAGACACTTCGAACAATATTATCGTACAATTGTAGAAACAATGTTGTTATACAATTACATACCTTTACCCTTCTTCCACATGGCGATGGCGTACATGTGATAATCCGGTGACATGGTCGAGTCCGGCGGCAACGGATCCTCAGCCTTGACTTCCAACACGAATCCAGATTCGAGGACAGCACATAATATATTTTGTTCATCGTGTTTGAACCACTTCGACTCCCGTAACTTGTGTATAGCCACAGAGGATCCGAACCTCGGTTTTTTAGGCGCGAACAGAGCCTGAGCTTGACTTCCGAAGCGAGACAGCAGCCCCTTCACCGTCGGTTGCGGTGCTAGAGTCTTCTCGGGCGGCTTGATCTGCTGGAAGCTCCGGCAGGTCACGAACCTGGCTTCCATTGAACTCTCTCTTGGAATCGCGAGACAATTCACACCACAGTTAATTTCGTAGGTGTCGTGGGCGCACCGGGCTCACTCTCACTACTGAGAAATCGTATGCAATCACACTTTCACAATCCGGTCCGCGTGGCTCAGCGGTTGAACGGACACAGAACTATAGTACAGCTTCCGAACGATAGACGCGGGGCGCGTGCTGTTACCGCGTTATATACGGACGCGGGGCGGGGGAGACGCAGAGGGGAAGGGAGAGAACCCCGCCACTACGACACGACGCGTAATAGTAACGTGCTAATAATGTATCGATTAACACCTTCGAAATATATACAACGAAAACGGCACGTTGAACTTTGTAGTTGCAAAGTAAAGCTAAATCAACAAAGAATAATCATAACTATACTTGAAAATAATGTAGTAACCAGCTTGTATGTAGAATGTAAGTTAAAATAATTCAAAGCAATAACAGAAAAAAGCATCTTAATTCTAACCAACATAATTATTAATTAGTATTGTTCTATGGCGTCTTATTTTTGTAAAAAAAATATTCATTCCTCTTTTATCTTAAAACTTTTCTGCCTGAATCATTAATATAAAGAGTTTTATATGTATAAGAAAATTACATTTTAGATTTAGTACATTTAATGAAAAATACGACACAAAATTTTAAATGAACATTGGTTAAAATACTGTTTATCGATGTATAAACAATAAGAATTACCACATAAGGTACAATCCCACTGTAGATCATATATATATTATATCGATAGTATTTCTATCGACGCGGTCCAACACTGTGAAATGCACCGAGCGACCTCAGTTGTCATTCCCCCCGCGGCCCGCTAGCCGGCGTCTCCCCGTGAGTGAGGTATGTTGGCCTCACTCACTACAGACACCGTAACTAGTAATTAATATTACTTTTTATGTTTGTAACCTTTACACTGATTACACACTATAAATATCGCGGTTATGTCAATAGACGAAGCTGTTATCGAACAATATATAAACATATACGAGTCAAAGATGACTTCGATGACTTAAATATACCTAATATTTTTTCTGATTCTGTGTATAAACGGTATTTTTAACTTTTAATTTTTTTTACATAATTATCTTACATATTTTAAATTGACCGTCATGTCAGCATGTTTTTAGGAATCTTATTTCTAATTCTATATATAATTTTCTTTTCAATCTTTATCATCGAAAAACTGCAGAAAGTAATGATTATAAGGAGATATTGAAAATATAATATAATGCAACCACGATCATGTTCAAGATATTACAGAGTTTTAACACTTAACTAAGCGTCAATTTTAACAGTCGACTGATAATGTAAGATCCAATAACACATACCATTCTCCTTCTATTTAACCAGATGTGTGAAATCTTATTTATTTTGTGGTTACAAATACCCTAGAGGTGAAATAAAATAAAAATCAATTTATTCCTTTTATGACTCTAATATGTAACTATTCGTTTTAGTTTTATAACACGATTATCACGGACTTTGGCCGGTATAAAATTATCGCGTCGTCCAAATAATCTGTGTTCCACTTTACAAAGAAGCTTCTGGTATCAATTAGTTAATATTACCTCAGAATCAATATTCAAGGAAGAAACAATCGTATAATATAATGTATATAGTGTATTTTTTGTTTTTGATTTATTTTCCTAAAGAGCAAGATCATATCAAAAGTCATGTTAAATAGTTTGCAACACGATCGTCATAAAAATGCGGTCAAAAACCGTTTGCATCCAGCTCGACTGGTTTGTGTGAAGGTCTCCGCTGTTTGGAATTATGTGACGAGCTTATATTATAAGAAAAAGACTATTAACAAATAATTTATAATAAAACAAAGCTATAGTATTCATATGTAGATATATTTGAACTTAAAATCTTTATTATTTTAGTTCCATTCAGTTATTTCAATCTAATTACTATTATCGTTATCAGAAGTAGTTATTGTTATTTAATTGTAATCAATTAGTATTCTTAAAACATATATTATGTATAATTAGATCCGCTCAAATGAATTATGCATAAAATTTATTTCATTAATATTTTTCGTTACCACGTGTTTTATAATGTTTAACAAATATAACCGTGATTTAATTTCTACACTAAACTAGTTTTCGAGATAATCTCTGTCGGAGTAACACTAACTCAAACATTATATATCCTCTGCATCATGATCGTAATTCCAAGTTAAACAACTAGACTTCAGCACTAGATTAAAGAGATAGCTATGTACATATAGAATAATACCGATTAATACAAGCGGAGTCATTGTTTGAAGATAAAAATGGTAAAACTTCGAGTATAATTTCTAATCGCTTATTAATGTATTCGGGCATAATATACCGTTTACGATTAATGTCCAAGTTTGACAGTACCATTGGCCGTTGGTATCCTGGCAGCCTGACTGCATAATCAGAACGAGAATAAGTATGTATCAATTGGAAGGATTAAAATTATCCAAGAACATCGACCAATGACTAATATTTTATATATAACACATACAATCCAAATACTATTAATAGTTTTTGTGCAAAGAAAAAAGTAAGTAAACCAAAGCAAGTCAAAGTTACATAGTCTCATTGTATTAAATTAAGACTATTAAGAGTTTTGAACAGTATACGTAACCTAAGTTTGAATCGTCACACTATGTACGGAGAATTAACAGTTTCTCATTCATATTTTTTCCTCATTATAATATTAACGTAGGTTAATTATTCATTATGATATGAGAAACGGGAAGCGTTTAATGTATAGTCTGATCATGTAAACTTAGATTAATTGTATAGATAGAAAATCTGAGTTAATCAAGTACTTATACAAATATATCAAGTACTCATGAATTTACATTTTATGTCAAATAAATATCTGTATATTTTAATATTTACCTCGAGAATTAATCATACCAAAACAAAATATATACTTCCTTAATAAAAATAATTATGTGATAATAATATGTAAAATATATAGTAATTATAGATTCACATCTGTAATATTTTACTGAATGATTAATTTATTACGTGTTTGTCATTTATTACAACAACGTAATAATGTAAGCGATATTTCCTTACACGAGATATCGAGTGGCGCCGGAGTCTGAGACTAGTTAAACCGCAGTCGTGGTTTGTGATCACGTGTTTAAAGAAAAATAATTAAAGAGTTAAAGTGATTTAAAATAATAATACTATTATCGGATTTACTACGACTATATGAAAATTTTCATCTCGTCTACTGATATCACGATTGCTGCAAAGTAACCAAAACGTAGGCAGTATGTAGTTCAAAATAATAAAATAACGCATAATTCGAAAATATTAGTTTCATTTAAAAGAATACTTGCGAAAATCTTAGATCTCATTAGTTAATGAGATTACGAGAAATGTTTATCATTATACCATTTATATGTACATATGTTCTTGTTTTTTTAATTATATTGGTTTATTAAATTTACTAGTGTTAGTTATACCACAATCTTATTTTAATTATTAAGTCGAAATTGATACTATATTATAGATACACATAATCTAATAAATCCTGCTTTCTATAGATATATTAAAGACGTTTATAATCCATCAGTGGGTTAGATAATAGTTATCAGTTACAATGGAACGTGTTTTTAAATGTATATTAGAAAAGAATTAGATGTTCGTCACTTAGACACCCTTTTATCTAGTAGCTGGGAAATTTAAGATAAAAATCTATGCAAGTTTAACTAATCCAGTATTAATGAAGATATAGCAGACATAAAAATATATACATCTATATAAACACAATTATTACTAAGATTGAATTATTAAAATCAGTTATAAATTACTTAAAAGAACTGTATTTTCCATTGTGAGTTGATTTATTACTCGATGATTCGGTTATTTGTAGCCGTTTTAAAGACAAGACGAGATAAAAGATTCTGCTTAAAATCCGTACTTACATTCTTGTAGTCGGAATTATATCACGAGACTTATGTTATGTTTTTGAATGTCTGTTTGTTTGTTACACTTTACACCTTGTTAATATAAAAAGGTTATTGATAAGTATATCAAATCACGTTTTTCTTCACGATCTATTAATTCACATAGTAAATTCAATAAATACATGAGAATTAACACGTCCTGATAAAAATGATAACAGAAAAATGCAAGCTCATAACTTAGTATTTTTTATTGACACTCTTTTTTTATCACTAGACACTTGCAGCGGTATTACTCATGGTTGTATATTATGACTAAACAAATTATATGCATACTTTTTTCTGTTATAAAATTCTTGCAGTACGTAGTTTGCTTCTAAATGCAGTATTAAAAAAATGGGACAATAATTATTATTTAATATTTATATTATCGAATAATTATCTTACATTTAAAGTATTTATTGTATTATATATGGATAAACGAACGCTCGTTTACGATGGCAATACGTGCGAGAACTTATACTCGCAATATAATATTATCTCCATATATCGACTTACTTCATACAGTGTGTGATCATTTAATATTCTTCCTAGCTCGGAGCGAGACAAACACAAGTTTTTTCCCTCATTTCAGTGATATTTGATATAAATATTGTATTAATCGTTTATTCTCGCTCATAGAACCTGTTAGTTTTGTTACACAACTCAGTTGCATAAGGCGCCGTGTCTAAACGACGCAAGATTTATCTCAAACTAAAGGTTATTGATCTCAACGTATTGATTATTATTATTCTTAATTAAATTACTAATGTTATATATTATTATAATGTGTAGTTTTAACAAAGCTCATAGTATTATTCATTCGAAAGAAGCGCATAACTTATTGTTATCTCTTTGAATTATGTATTATGTATGTATGTCTGTTAGTGTATTTTAATCTAGACACTAAATACCCCCCAGATAACGTAACTGATTAGTGACTAATACCCGATGGAATTTCCTTGATTAAGTCTCATTTTAAACTAAAATATATTAAATAGAAACAGTTTTAACTAATTCTTTAAATTAAATCTTAACAAT